GGTTAGGCCTAGATAAGAAATTAGCTCTCTAGCGCCCCCATTTTGTTTGATGGGGTCAATAATGGAGGGGTCCCCTCAGATTATGTGTGGTCATATGCCTACAAAGTTGCGTGGTGATCGGTGAAACCCTTGAGATGTTATACACCTTTATGTGATGAGCCACGCCCTCCACAATATTCATTGCCTTATAGAAGCTCAGTTTTAGTAAGTTTTCCAACCTTTGCCAAGAGGGAACTTTAGATATTGGTCCCTAGATTATGTTCAATGAGTTTCATGCAGATCGGTCAAACTTCCTAGGAAGAGATCGATTTTGAAGTGTTTTTCAAAAAATTCAAAATGGCGGAAAATCTATATAACCGGAAGTTATGGGTTCTCGAGGCAAATTTGTTCCTCATGAGGAGAGGCATCTCTGTGCAAAGTTTCATGTCTCTACAACATAGATAGATATGCCCATTCAAAGTTTGCAATTTCAATTGGCTGCTATAGCGCCCCCCTTTGGCCAATGGATGTAATATTGCTTCATTCGCATCCTCCCATGACCCTCTACCACTGTGCCAAATTTCACATGGATTGACCAAGTCAGTGAGGAGAAAAACGTGGAACAGACACACAGACAGAGTTTTCGTCATTATATAGTAAGATCAGTGTCATGAAATTGCTGATGTAAACACATCATCGTTGACGTCCACTATGACAGTGGGGCCACAGTAGTTTGATTCTTTATGTTTCAGTGGATGAAAAAGATTTTGCCTCGGAAGCTTCAGAGTTTTCACACTAAAGGTCACTGCTAATTACATTGTCTTTGTGTCAAACAATTGTTTCACTTGTCTGTTAGAGAGCTATTGTGTAATTGTGAAAAGCAATTTCATTTCCTCAAAAAAAAAAAAATCAAATGTGGAAATTGAAAATTGGATTTTGATTACAGCTTAACAACGCAAATTACATAGAAACAAAGGAAATTAGATCAGTGCTACAGTGTCTGCTTTTTTATACTAGCGAGTGCCTGCTCTAAAGGTGCCTATTGGCAACAGACGGATTGCTTAGCGTCCGCAAGGCACAGCGGGATGGGCGAGCCCCCGTCCACAGAGCTGCCACTATCGATAGTCCACTATTGAGTTTCACTAAAAATAGATTCAAACAAAAGGAGCAATGGGGGGAGACAGGACAGGTGTGTGTCTAGACTATTGAGCTATTTTTTTACTGCCAGAATATTTAATATGAATTCTGAATCCATACAGTCACTACATTTTGTGTGGCAAACATCACTATCCCTGCCCCTTCACTATCATGCAGGCACCTGAAACACACACACACACACACACACACACACACACACACACACACACACACACACTCAGTATAACCAACTTGGCAACTTTCTCATTAGACTTTTCAGACCCCTTCGCCAACTTACTGCTCAGGGTAAACTCAGTCAGCAGCTTCTCTGGCAACAGCAGAGAGTCTCTCCCTCTGTCTCCTCTCTTGCCATGTGTATGCAGGCAGCAGTGACTTACTGTGGTTACCTTGCAGCTTTCTCGAGAGCTGCTCATTCAAATAGCTTCACACTCAATATTGTGCTTCCTTAGGTCTGCCACAATCAGCATTCAATCTGAAAGTTACATAGCTGATACCTGAAGTTTGCTATGATTTATTTTTTAATTATTATTTTTAATTTAATTCTGTATTTGTCAATCCACATAAACCCTGGCAACTTACAGCTGAAATACAGCTTCCGCAATCCCTCTTTTAACACAACACACACATGCAATTAACAGGGATAGTGCAGGGTCGGCCATGTTATGGCACCCCTGACACACTCTGGGGGTTTGGTGCCTTGCTCCAGGGCACCTCTCCAGCTGCTAGTCCATACTCTACAATTGGTCCGTACACCACATGGACTGCCTCTGCAACATGTTCAGCATATCTGATCTCTCTTTCTTCATCTGCTCCTGAATATACTGTAGCAAGCGCAGAGCGGTAATAGGGGTCCCCTCTTAATATACTGCACAGTGTGCGCATAATACATTACTAATAAATATGTCCCTTAGATCTCAAGATCTCGAATGTCACACTGCACTTCCTTTGGTCTTCAGCAATACACACACCCACACACACACATACATATCTATGTATGTAAATACAGACAGACAGACAGTCTCTACTTACATAGATTGCAAAGGCATAAGCACATAGTTCAGTACAGATAATACTGGGATTATTCATTAATTTTATTTCCAGAGACAAACATATTGCAAAGGCACAATCTCTGAGATAGTGTTATTTGCTATGCTCACCCCAATGTGAAATGGCCCGGTGAAGTAGTCCAAATTGGCCTGAATGAAGCCAATGTTTTTCAGCCCGAGCTCAGCGCTCCGACTCTGAGCCCTGACCAAGGACTCCTCTTTGTTCTCTATGAGGATGACCTTGAACAGAAGCAGAATAAAATCACACAGCTGCATGTGATTGCTATTTTTGAGATGACATGGAATGAGCAGTATTACGGTTTGTAAGTGCGAGAAAACAAAATCAATAAAAGCTCTTAAAATTAACAATAAACTCAGACTTTAATCAGAACAGAGGGCCTAAAAACATTATGTGACCAGTTTTCAAAAAAAATCACACAGTACAGCAATATAGGGGTGCATTTAATGGTTAATAATAATCATTTCATCATTATCTGTTGATACCTTGGTATTCTTTGTTTCCTTTAATGTCAAAAATAATGATAATTGCCTGTTAAGAATGACCAGAGTCTAAAGTCAAGTCTTCAAAATGTTCATTTAATCTAAGCACACACACAAAAAAAATTGATTAGACACACACATCTGCACAAATACACACGTTACCTGGCAATCTGGAATTGTGTGAGCCAGAACAATCCCCACATGGCCCTGAGAGACAGCACAAAGAAAGAGAGAAAGAAAAAAAAAATGCACAATAGGAAAGCAGCACGCATCAAAGGGGGCATCAATGGAGTTATGATTAGTGCTGCCCTTTCCAACCAAGTATTGACCCTTTAGCCATGCAGCGCTACCGCACTGAGCATGCATTTTCATGAGTGTAATTACCAGTCTGTCTGTGTGCGCCGGCCAACAACAAAAGTCATTTGAAGAGGCAAGAAAAAACACGAAGGCATATGAGGACTAGATCTTTTCAGCTGGCTGCTAATGGAGCAGCCGTCTAACGCAGCCATCAGGTGCAGTGATAAATATACATGCATGGCCTGGACTGATGGATGAACACACGCACCGTTCCGCTGCAGAAGTCCACAACGGTGTGTCCTGGCCTGGCTAGCTCTGTAACCATAGCAACCAAGTTATTCAGCTGTTGCCTCTTCCTGACTGCACGGATATTTGACATTTTCCCTGTAAGAGAGCACAAGTGGAGAGCAACAGGTTTTTCCAGGCAATTAATCTGAAAACTCAATTAAAAGGGGGAAAACAAAAACTCTGCCAGAGGAAAGAACTATCAAACATAAATGGAATTCCGTCTTGATTATGAAAAATCTATTTTGTAGCTTGGTTGGTTCCAGTCAATGAGCAACAATGAGACATCAGAATACTTGTTAAAGATCGCACTACACATTTTTCATTACTCTAATGTCTTCTTTTCTTTTGCCGTCAGTGAAAAAACCGTCCCCTCCCCACTACTGCTCAAATTTTTGATTTACAACCAGTCATTTCAGGTAATGGTTATAGCACACAGATGAAAAGGCCTCCACTCTCTCATCAGCATGTTTCCAGCCAATTGCCAACTAGGGAGAGCAAACAATCTTTCAACATAATCAAAAGCAAGCCTCAGAGCCAAAAAGTGTCCTTCTTGTTTGTGGCAAAACTTCCTGCTGCTGTGCGAGCAGTATGTACCCCATTAACTCAAAGCACATTTCAGGCTCCTGCATCTTCATCACCCGTCTGCTAGCACGCCACATCGCCAGTGAGCCGTTGACGCACCGTGCCGACGCCATCTCCGGCCCATCAATCTAGAGTGATGAGTGTTTCATTTACCCCACAGTCGCACCCTTATATCCACACAGCCAAGATATCAGAAAAAATATTATTCCTACAAGTTCCTGCTCACGCTGCTTTGTATATGACAACTGGGGAGGGGCGGGAGCGAGAGAGACTTTTCATTCCGCCAACAAGAATAGGAAATTTCACAGTGTCATTATTCAGGCTCTCATGCTGGCTGTTATTGAGCTGATCCCAGCTGTAGGGAGAGCACAATGAAGAAAGTGAGGGATGAATTTAAATACAGGAAAACAGCAGGAAGGTAATTGACAAGACTCTCTCCGTTTGGATGAGTAATTCACACGGGTGCAGACACTTCTATGTATCCATGACTCCAGTGGGGCTTCAGTATGGAGGCCTTTTGATGCATCTGAACACATTCAGATTTTAATTGCAAATTGCTTTACAGAGTGGGCAGAAACAGAAGGGGGAATCGAAGTAGTGCGGCTTAGTGCGGAAAATGGAATAACCAAACAAAGTAGCAGCAGTACAGATCATCCATTTAGGACACAAACCTCTGATGTGATATAGAACAATCTGCATTGACTGATTCTTTTTTTTGGGTTGCTTGGTGACAGTGGAAACAAGCTGTAAACACAACACTGACATATGATTATCTGATAAAGCTGATGCGACAAACAAATGTATAAAGTTGGCTATTTACACATTTAACAGATGTGGAGCAATATTAAAACATGGCCTATAATGATGCTTCTAAAACTTCCATGATGGTGCAGTGCCAGCCAAATGTTGAAACTGTTGGTGTGCCTTCTGCCCTGCCTTAATATGAAATCTTATATACTGATATATGTGCAGGCTGTCTGTCTCAGAAAATGGTATCATTGAGGCCTTGGCCGACCCTGAGCTGAGCTCAGTCAGGTTTTCATCAAGACTGGCTCTCCAGCTTGTTTGTGGGTGCAGTTTATTGAATTTTGTCTTTTAATATGAATATGCAGAATGTAGTGTGGGGTTTCTATTGTCTTTTCATATATATTGTATTTATTATATTGTATTTTTATACGTAAATGATTGTCTGCTCTGTGTCCTTAATAAAGTCATTATTATTATCACTATTTTTAGCATTCATTTGAGTCATTTTTCTTAGTTCACTCTACTTTTAGCTCTGTTTTAGCCTCCACCAACTCCTGAGACAAATATCTGTTCTTTATTTGCTATTTACTCTGCACAATTTTCTTTAAAAAATGTACTGACTCATACATGAGTAATCCTTCTCAATCACCACTTATGACCCACTAGAAGTACATAGCTGTGTATTTTTCTGCAGAGACTCAGCCCTCTGCCTGTATTTTCTTCTTTTCCTCTTATTTATTGTGTCCAGGACATATGTAGGCGTGTAGCCCCCAGCCTATGACAGCATGCAGGTGAAGTCGGGACTGTTTTGACCAGGCTTTCAGCGCCAGCAACAGAGGCTGTGCTAGCTCGGACCTCTGGGTTTGCTGCTAAATTCTTTGCGTTGAGGTGATATTTCAGGCTTTTAGTTCTCCAATGGTACGAAAATTCCTCACTGCAGAAATCGCAGAGAACGGTGCTCCTATCAACAGTTCCATCTGGGCGTATTCAAAATGTAAATGTTCCATTCACAGGGCCAAGCAACATCATTTTGTCTGCCTCCATCATGTGACAAAGCCACTGTGGCCTTCAATGACGCAACGAGTCAAACGGCACCACGGAAAGCAATTAATCAGCGTTTTTTGAAAGCGGTATTTTTTTCTGTGATTAATTGACCAAAATTAATGGGTTATTTTGACAGCCCTAGTTTACACACACTAACCAAAACTTCCTGCACCTTTACCTTTAACAGTTTGTCATTTGGTATTGGGCAGTCAACACCAGTTCAACCATTAGAGCATTTTTGCTGAAGACATCTGCCTTCTGTGGCTGAAAACTGTGAGAGCGGTGAGAGTCAACCAAATCAGTAACGTTGTGGGCCTGATAATTAAAGCAATGGGCTACAAGACTCTATCAAGATTCACAGATCTTAACGGAACCTACAGAGTCCATTGATAATTACATGTGGACTCATCACTACCAGCTACCTCTTCATGTGATTCATTATTAACATTATAATAGTGCTGCATGGTATACCGGTACTAAAATAGTACCACAGTACTAGAGTATTCCAAACGGTACTATACTGCATTTGGAAAATACCGGTACTTTGAAATTGATTCAATTTATTCATTTAGTTAATTTATTTTACTCATTTATGCACGCGAATGCCTTTCTTGTTCCTATTGGAGCACAGATTGCACAAGTGGTGTGTATGACAACACCTGTATCAACACTCGCAGCTGGCACATGTGAAAAAAGACAAGAGAAAGTCTGCCTCGCAAAGGGAGACAACACGAGACAACACAAACTTGGTGGGACATTTGAGTTACCAAACCGTGACGTCCGCACCGAGGTACTTACCGAACCATGATTTTTTTGGTACCGTTACACGCCTACTATTTATTGTTCTAAAGGTTTGTATCCAAAAGGACTTTTCCTTAGCAAGAAGTACCGAAAAGTATCGAAATTCATATTGGTATCGGTACCGAAACAAAGATTTTGGTATCGTGACAACACTAGATAATAGGTTGATGGTTTTGCCCAGAAACAAATCTAGGAAAAGCCTTTAACTTACAGGGTTTTGTCAAACTGTTTCTGTAAACTTTGATTTGTTGTTGGTTTTGCTGTAAGAGTGCAAATCCTGTTTTAAGCTTCAAAGGCAAGCAGTACTCCGAGGCCACACAATAGGTCTAAGGTGTTTACAGAAGGTTGCATAAGAATAGGCACTGCCTCAAAGTTGTTAATATTTGCTGAGCGCTGAGAAACAAGGGACTGAGGTCAGTTACACAAGTCAGACCAAAACAAAACTGAAGTGCAAAAGGTGTATACAGTGTTCTTTGTTTTAAAAAATGTATTAATTGATTTTATAGCATGTGAGTGAGTGTGTGATTGACTCTGAGCATTTCTACTCAGACAAGACTTTGTTTTGATGAAAGGTCACCACACAGCTTAAGGTCAAACCCATCAGCTACGTAGGACTGAGTGGGTGGCAGCAGAAGAGCTAACTATATTTTCTGATGTGGTTTCAGGAAAAAGAGTAATACTGAGAGGTCTGAAAAGTTCACGCTCTGGGTTGCCGTAATTGCAGCGAATTCACTCAATTTGAGACGAACATCATAAAGTAATGCATCAAGCAGTGTAGAGGTCAAAAAGCCGAATGATGTATAAAGGAAAACTAGGTTCACCGCCTCGCGGTTGTATGTATGTTGCAGTTCACATCCATGTCTTTCCAGACTGTAAGAATGTAAAAAAATGTATAAGGTGTATTTTCTGTGAAATGTCATCGATATATTGATATGTAAGATTTCAGTGAATAATTTCCAGGGACAAACATGCAGTCTTTAATTAGAGACTACTTTTACAGTCCAGTCCAGTACAGTACAGAGGACTGATAGAGAGCGTCGTCACACGGTGCTGCGACAATCACCTGAAGCTCAATATCAGCAAAACCAATAAGCTTGTGGCGGACAACGAGAGGAAGAGGACAGAACATAAGATTGTAGCCATGACAGTAGACAATGCCTCAAATATTAATGCTGCTGCAAAGAAGCTCAACCCAGCAGCACAGAATAGCTATATAATCAGCACAGTTTCAAGGCGGACCCCCAAGATAAGTGACACCAATTCAGTATCCGAGCAAATGTCTCTCCTTCTGTTCCTGAGTTCTGGCTTTGAATAAGGCCAGGAAAGTGTTTCTGCAGAACATCATGATGTCACAGTGGATGTTTGCGCCAGAGGTAATGAAATTCCTGAGACACTGCATTCAGGAGGTATAGACGTGAGGTCACAGTGACCTTTGACCACCATAAGATATTATCAGTTATCCTTGAGTCCAAGTGGACGTTTCTACCAACTTGGGAGACAATTACTAAGGTGTTCCTGAATAATCACAGTCAAGACGATGGGATGGACAGACAACCCAAAAACATGATGCCAAATGCCATAACAGCAGTAGAAACGCATTGCAGAGAATACTGAACAGTTCCTTATAGGCTTTATGACACAAATAAAATGGAGCTCATTTTATCATGTCTAAAAATGTTCTTGAATTTCCAACAGTTAACCAATAAAACAAAGTGGATTTTCCAGCAATATAACTCACCTTTAATTTTATAGCAGGGAAAGGAGACATAAACAGTCTCATTTATTCTGTTTATTTTTCTTTTATTCGAAGGAATGCTTGGAATTGGTAAGAAAGGGTAGGGGGGATCAATATCTTAATTAAAGATACAAATGGTTATAGCTTTAACTTTTATAGGTTTAACTGATGACAGCAATCCCCCTAG